TCAGGCATTTGTACATATCATATGGTGTTACAGCGATTTATACCAATTTCCGTAAGAATATCTCAGAATTTGCCTTTATCGCACTATGATATCGCTTTTACGATCACTGCTCAATTCTTGCCAATATTTTGTTCTGTTCGTCGAGAGTGCCATTCTTACGGAAACATTCTCTTCGCCGTTTTGGGTACCGCGAACGAGCAGTCGATCTCGCGCGCGACTATCAAATTATAGCCGGTGCATATGCGGTGCATAATGCAGCGGATAATGTTACAAATTCAATCATCTTTCGGATATTTTTATCGACGTCAGCCGCGCCAACGACGAGCGACGGGATATTTCTACGCGGTGTTACACGCGCACGTCGAGAGAATCTCGACTATCAATAGCACGCTGACTTAGTTATGCGCCCCTACCTAGAGCGCTTTGCCAAGTAGAATTCCGATATCCGTTAGAGCCTGCTTCTGTTGTTGCAAGGTAATCCGATCCAACACGTTTTACCTCTTCTTAAGGTGTGTCGACCTACCGTGTTTCACGCCATAATCACGCCCGATCGAATCCATCTTGCGTTTTTCCACAAATTTAATATCTCAATTTGATAGAATTTGCTCGAAGTAAACCGACACGAGATCGATGATGGTTAACGGAGGTGAGAAAATAATAATAAGTATTGCTCAAGTTTGGTGGATGCACCAAGAATATCGTATCAAGATGATACTTTGTAGTATATTCTTGATCATTGGATTTTTCTTTAAATCGAATAAGATGTATTGGATAAAAAATAAGTTCAATAATCATAATACATTAACATATCTATGGAATGTGATAACATGTTTTCCGTGTTTTATACATAATTAATATAAATACAAGATTAAATAAGAATAGGTAAAAAAAAATGGGGAGTTTAACACACTCACAAAAGAAAAATATCTATATTTTTTACTTTATGTTCAATAAACATTATTATTGTTATTATATTTTTTCTAGAATTCTGATGTTTTGCGTGCATTTTTGAGCAGTAATACAATTAGGATGTACTTTAAATAAAAAGTGGAAAACAAGAAATTTTTCTACAGATAATACTCAAAGAATTAGCAGGGAGAAATATTTAATTTATATCTTAGAATAAGATATTTAATATATACCGAAAGAACAAGAAGATAATCATTGTAGCCGATTAGATTATATTATAAATTAAATACAAAGAGAAGAAGAAATGAGAGATAGATAACGCTTGAGGAAAAAGATCTGGCAAACGTATATCTCTCTCCATGTGTATAACTTAATTTATATTTCCCACTAGAGATAAAACTAGAAAGATAGAGAGATAATAACGGCAATCGATTAGGAAGTATCTTAAGATACGGGGAAAAGGAGAAATAATGGTAGATAATGTTCAAGGAAAAGAGTTATAACGGAAACATTCCTCTGTGTAATTTAATTTATACTTCTTGCTAAGAGCGAAACTATAGATAGTGAGAGAAAATAGGGGTAGTAATGGCAGCCGATTAGGAAGTATCCTGGAGACAGGATGTGCAGGAGGGGCGAATGTGGAGGAAGCCAATGACTCTCACGACGCGAGAGGGAGGAAATTTTATCGAGCAGCCGCCATCGACGAGATAGAGGACTGAGAGGGATGGAAAGCAGGGAACGAGGGGATGAATCGGAGGGTTGGAAGACAGCGGGGGTAGGATAACTCGCGATAGCGAACGAACGAATCACGAATGAAGGGATGAGGGAAACTCTTGAGGGACCGTACGTCCTGTCAGGACAGGAGGAGGGCAAAGTCGAGCAGACAAAGGACTTACCCCACCGCGGGAGGATAAACCTCGCCAGAGATGGCGGTCGCGCCGCGAACCCGCAAACTACTAGAGTATTAATAGTTATCTCGCGCTTCATTATCGCGCGGTCCTCGCTCATGATACGCGAACACACGCGCGCGTCCGACATAAAGCGCAATGGAATACAAAAATTCGGCGATTACAAAGAGTTGTAAAAATATATCTTTGAAGGTCCCTGTTCACATTATTACTTAATCACAAATTTCACATAGAAATAAATTAAATTAAATTAAATTAAAGGAGAACTTCTCCTATGATATTCTGTACAAAAGAGAGAAACTTGGAAATAAATGATTATAGATTAATTCTCTTAGATTCTTTGCGGCTCGATATCTCTTATATATTGTTAATTAAGAAAATAATTATTATATGCATTCATATTATATATATCATAAGTAAACATTTAAAAACTAATTTACTGAATGTTTTTGAAGAAATAAATGTTTTTTACTCTATCATGATTCTTTTATTTTTATGACAAGAATACTTTATATATTTATTAACAAAGAACTAACAAAATTTTTACAGTGTCCACGCAATTGCAATCATAAAGTATCGTATATACTTTATAACTATTTTTGTCTAACTAAAAATAATTAATTATATCATGTAAATTTATTATGGCATTAATAGGAAAAAAATTCAATCTAAGTAAGAACGAGAAAAGAAAGAAGATCACAAAGATTGTAAGAGAAAAAAGAGAAAGTAAATAATATAAGAAAGATTTAAATAGATTCAAGAAGAGACTATTTGTGAAGAGATTTGAAATCGTGTGTAAATATCACATGAATGGATAAATAGAGAAAAATGTAAAAATAAAGAACGCATGTTTTATGTTAGATTATCGCCGTTCTCCAGAGATAGCTTTCCGTCTCTTTTCTCAAGATAGATTAAATAAATTTATGTCCATTTAAAAAGTTCAAAGACATATACTTATACTACATATACTAGATTCGAATATATGGATAAATCAAATTCCATACACATATATATGATATCAATGATCATGTTTCTATTATAAATTCTATTATAAATTTTTATTATAAATTAATAATTCTTACATTATACGTTTTCTCTCCTTTTTTATCTCTCTAAAATAATAGATGATAAATCTGATAAAATAATATAATCAAATACTGATAAATATTAGTTTTCTAATTAGGTAGATAAGAGTTACGTATTTGGCAAAAGAGATGTTATTAAGTTCGATCGAAATATAATAGGAAAGTGCCTGCAACCAAAATTGTTTCTAAATTTTCAGGTTCTCGTACTCTGACCAAAACAGTATCAATCATGAACATTAAGGCTGTAGGGTCAAGGGGTTAACGGCAGCTTAAGTAACTACCGTCGCCAAAATGATCACGCGCATCGTGCAAAAGTGGATTATACATGTCAGAATATCAAGTTGTCGACGCAAATAGCGGGCGATTTGGTTCCACGGTTTTCGACTCGCCATCTCGCCGTGTAATAATATCGCGATCGTCGATGGCGAACGTTATATTAATCCGTGCCTACGTCTCGCAGATAAGATTAAATTTATTGTTCCCTTCTCTCTCCAAGCTCGAAACCAATGAAATCGTCCGCGATCCTCGTTCGCGCTGGATAATCTGAATGAGATTCGGCGAGAAGGTACTTTGGCGGCGTTAAATGATGCACGTCAGCCGGGAAATCTAACTTTAGGACCCGTTAGTGTCTGGAGAGCTCTCTAATCGCGTTACCGTCCATGTACCTCACCTCACCTGTCCTTCCCACGACACCTGCGTCCTCGCGCGAGCAGGTAACTTAAGACGCGTATGAGAGGTAAGGAAATCGACGAGAAAGCTGTGACAGGTAGCTTCCTTAATGTGCTTACAAGATCATGTAAATTTGTCTTGCATAGAGCGAGAACAATTTTCTCTACAGGATGTTCGACAAAAATAGTGATTATATTTATTACAATATAAGTAATCTTTAGATTGTATAATGTTGAATATTGGCCAATAAATTGATAATAAATAATAACAATATAATAGATAAATAAATAACAAAGTTTGCAGTATTTTATGCAAATTATAATTTAATAAATTTTAATTTAATACAATATTTAAGTCCATACTCTCGTCGTATGTTTAGTGTGTTAAATATAGTTGTACGATTTTGTTTTTATATCAAATATTGATATAATAAGATTTAAACAAGCATATTTAATAATCAATGTTAACATTAAAAATTAAAAAGTTAAGAAAAATCTTTCATTTTTCGAGCAAATTTCCGTAGCAAAAAAAATAAACGTCAAATGTTCCAAAAAGAACAGGATTTAAAGATTGTTTTAGTAATTTGGAAAAAAAAACCACTAAAATTAGAGCAATAGTATCAAAAAGATACATTTCTATTTACGGGACGAGTGATAATCCCAAAATGATGTAAATTGAATCGTAAAATGAGAACAAGGTTTATGGACTCGGTTGTTACAAGAAAATTTACCGTGTTTATCTCTTTTAAACAACTGTAATTTCGGGGACAATTACCCTCATACATAAAAGATACATCTCAATTTGCAATCCCGAATTGCGCTGTGATCGAATTCCCGAGAATTACCATGTAAATAAAATCGCGTAAAACAAGAGAGATTGTTTTACAAAAAGATCACCATAATTACCGTTTAATATAATCTTTTCTCTCATCGGTAGCGATATAAAATTTTGAAAATATTATATCGTAATTACGAGTACGAGGAACGATTTTTACAATAATATTTGTACTATTCTTAAGTCATTCATCTTTCGTTCATGATAATCCGTCAAGTATTAGACAGCATAATCCATCAGCTCGCGACCTCTAGGTAGCCATGAAAACGAAAATGGAGTCTGTAATGTAATTACACTACACTCCTTCGGCTAACTCACCCTCAACTTTCCGGCAACAGCCCTTTCTTTGTGCGAATAAAGCAAACTGCGCAATGTACAATACAAAATTATATGTAAACCGAAAAAATAATTGTGATAAACTATATAATTAATTCATATTAATTATATTTAATTTATTGTGTTGGGTTAATATTCTTGAATTTTCACAAGAAACCTCACGTTTTTCTTATATACGAAAGAAGCTGAATTAATGTAGAATTTAATGTAGAATTTCACATGAGAAGAATTAATCGCGCAAAAGGAAAAATGCACTTACTTGTACTCTGGCTTCCGTCAGATCGATTTTCATAGCGATTTCTTCTCTGGTGTAGATATCTGGATAATGTGTCTCCTGGAATGCACGCTCCAGTTCTTTCAGCTGGGCTGACGTAAATGTTGTTCGTATCCGACGTTGTTTCCTCTTCTCCGCGAGGCCATCATGCCCTGAATAAGCTTTATACCCCAAACCACCTGAAATTAAAAGTATGCAAAACGTTAATAAAGATAGAAATATGCGATCGTGTTATAATAATAACGTATGCAATCTTTAAAATATGACACTTTATTTGCAATACAATAGCAACAATAATAATGCAATAATAATTGTAATGCCCGAAATGTAACTTTAAAACATGATCTTTATCTCAATTGTAATTCGATGATAAATATTCATAATATAATTTTGATGATAAACATTAGAAGACATGTGCGTGTAACACACATTTTTTATTACATCCCACGCATTTCTGTTTTCAAAGGGAAAGACACATACATATATATATATATATCTTTATGTTTTATATGTTAAAATGTTAAAATGTTTAATTTAAAAAAAGTGCATCAAAGTATTAACTTTATTCCTTTAGAGATAAACAATTTAATTTCCAAAATCCATTGAATAATCATGCTAGGGTTATATCCTTAAAAGACTTTTATTGCATAATTAATGTCGCCTCCGACATCTTTATTGCTATTTCGTTTCGGTGACTATTTATAACTTCAGTTCCTCTATCAAACATTAATTTAAGCGTGAAGCAGGCACTATATTGCATAATCTATTTGTATGACATTCTTGCGCGTACCATGTCGAAACAACACATGTGATGTTAAATTCAATCGGGATCAATTATCAACTAGAGCGGAGGGAGCTTAGCTCCCCGCTCGTGTGTGACATGTTTAGCCCCTTCTAAATCGCCGGAACAAACACAACAAAGCATCGCACATTCATAGCCCGACGGATTGACGCGAGAATAAAGGAGCTCTTGTTAAGCCATGGCAGTCGAAATTACAAATGCAATATTATTTATTTATTATGTATTAATATACGATAATATGTAATAATATATTAATATATAATACAAACGATATTACTTATTAGCTATTTGTTGATTTGAGTCATTTAGAATGACAAAGAAAAATCTTAAGACAAAAGAGATTGAATTTTCCAGTATAAATATACGTGATAAAATATAAATTATATATATATATAA